TCCCTCCCGTCTGGACCCAGGGAGGTAGCAGAAGCTACGAGCAGAAATACAGCCATTTTGTAGTGGTGTCCTGGTGCTGACAGTCCCACAGTCACACAAGCATTTTCATTTGTTCTGATTGTTCTTTAAGGAACACATCCTTGAAGAAAAAAGAATCTTTTTATTTATTTTTTACTTTATCTCCAATTTAACTCTGTGATGATTATTTTATTGGTAGAACAATGCACTGTTTTCACTGAGGTTAAACAGTGCTTTTTTGAAGTGTGGTCCCCAAACCAGTAGTTTTAATATCATCTGGGAACTCATTAAAACGTACCATCTGAGACCTTGTGAATCAGAAAGTGAGAAAGCAGGACGTGAGAATATGCATTTTTTGTTTTTAATTGTGATTAGTAAAACACTTAATAGAAAGTTTCCTGTCCTAACCATTTTTTCTTTTTTTAAGATTTTGCTTTTGGGTATGTGTGCTCACCTGAGAGAGACAAAGACAGTGATGGGAAGTGGGAAATCAGCCTCTGGGAGGATGGCCACACTGCAGTCCCTTCTCCTCTATTCTCCTCTTGGGATTCTGGGCACGCACACATATGCCTGGCATGATTTTCAAGCTGCTTGGTCCGGGATGCTAACTTTGGTAGGCCAGCGCCTTAACAACCATGCCCCCTCTGGCCCCAACCTTTTTTAGGTATACAGTTCAATAGTGTTTTTAATTTTTTTTCTATTTTTATTTTTAATTGTGGTTGAGAAAGTACATAACAGAAAATTTACTATATTGAGCATTTTTAAGTGTACAGTTCAGTAGTGTTAAGTATGTTGATATTGCTGTGCAGTAAGTCTCCAGAACGTTTTGTCTTACAAAACTAAAACTCTACCCATCAGGCAGCTCTCATTTCTCTTTCCACCGAGGCCTGGAAGCCACCATTCTACTTTCTGTCTCTGTGAATGTGACTCCGCTAGACACCTCATAAGTGGTGTCACACTGTTTGTCCTTTCATGCCAGTCTTATTTCACTTAGCATCATACCATCAAGGTTCATCCATATTGTAATGTGTCAACATTTTCTTTTCTTTTTTTATTGTTTGTTTCTTCCAAGTTTTTAAAATTCATGTATTCATTTCTTTCAAGAGAGAAAGGAAGAGGGAGAGGGGAACCCCCAAAAAGGGTCTTTATGCCACAATTTACCCACAGTCTTGGGTACCCTGGATCATGACCAAGCAAGCACATGTGCTCTTCGGGTGTGCTAGGAAGGTTCTGGGATGCAGGCCCAGGAGGTTTGTCATGTGAGTCCAGTCACATTACCGCTGCACGCCCCCAGCTCTGGAATTTTCTTACTTTTTGAGGCTGAGTGACATCTGTTATGTGCATATACCACACTGTCTTGGTCTCTTTACCCATCAGTGGACATTTGGGTTGCTTCCATTTCCTAGCTATTGTGAAATATGCCACTGTGAACATGGATGTGCAAATAGCTCTTGGAGGACCTGCTTTGAATTCTTTTGGGTATACACCCAGATTGCTGGATTATATGGCAGTTTTATTTTTCAAGTTGTAGCCCCTACATACTGTTTCCCATTGTGGCTATACCAGTTTGCATTCCACCAATGAGAATGTGCATTATTGATGTATTCCTGGTGGACTGGTCAAGTTTAAGAACCAATGGATTTAAATGATATAAAAAATAGAGGATTCTGTTTTCTCAAGAAATGTCGTTGAAACTGACATTTATGAGAGAAATTAATCTCTGTGGGGGACATTGCCCAACAGGTGAGCCGTCTTCTGATTTTGGGAGGGGCCAACGTGAACTACAGGACAGAAGTGTTAAATAATGCCCCAATCCTGTGCGTCCAGTCACACCTGGGCCATGAGGAGGTTGTCACTCTGCTCCTGGAATTCGGCGCCTGCCTGGACGGAACATCAGAGAACGGCATGACAGCCCTCTGCTATGCGGCAGCAGCTGGCCACATGAAGCTGGTGTGTCTGCTAACCAAGAAGGGGGCAAAGGTGAGCTGCAGCTGTTCCTGCCGTGAGCGTGGGCAGGGGGCCTGGAATTGCTTCACGTCATTGCCAGGATTGCTGTTGACAAGGCCAGTCTCTCTCGTCCTCTACTCTGTTGAATCATAGTGACTTGAGAACCTCAGCATAAACAGGAAGGGTTGGGCTGCAGGTGTCCTGAGTTTGTAATTGCTTGAGCTAGAGCAGCCTTAGGAGGGAAGTGCTCATGTGTTTGGGCCGTAAGCTGTTACTCTGCTGCATTCCCCTGGGGAGGATGAATACCAAGAAGAGCCTCCTGAGTAGGGCCATCATATACAAAGCCTGCAAGGGCTGACCGAGAACTTACTATAGCGCTGAACGCAGCACCACAATTGGTTGAGAAGATTTTAGGCGTTCGCTTTTTTCCCCCCCTCTTACCCCATTTCATATCTTTTGTAAAGTAATAAAATGAATTTCATGGTCTTGGAAGCCAAGTGCTTAAGTTACAAGAACTAGACTACCCAGAATAAGCGTCTCTTCCCTTGCCAGTTAGGATGTTGGGGAGGTTATTGAGCTCTGGTTTCTCATCTATAAATTGGGCCGAACAGTTTTTACTGGACTGT